ATTTATATATTATGTTCTCAAAGATTCAATTCAGTAAACTATACATATGAGAACACATCTTCTCATGTTTAAGAACTGAGATTTCCTGCTAAGGAGAGTAAGTAGAAGGCACATTCCAAGAAAAACGTAAAACCACATGCTTCTTAAGTAACTGGCTGTGCTGAATGTGTGCAGTTTGTCACAGGTATTACTTGGAAATTCTCTCCCCAAGGACCATCAGTGATATGTAAATCGGATACTAATCTTAAGCTATGAGGTTTTTTGTTTTTATTTTTTACTTTTTCTGTTCAACACATTTGCATGGAAAGAAACCAGTACCTTGTGCAAACTATTAAAATTGAACTGTACTATAATGTAAAAGCTATTAGGGAAGAAACGGTACCTACCAATACAATTCTAAGAGTATCTTAATATTAAATATATCACATAAACCATTAACACCAAATTCCAAATTAAAAAAAAAATCAGATATCTATAATTTAATGTGTTATTTTTCTTTTAAGCCTTCAAGGTCAGAGGAAGAGATTATACTGTAAGTGCAGTTACTCTTTTTTTTTTTGAAGGGGGAGTGGAGACTGGAGCATGGAATAGCAACTTAGTGAGATAACATGAAAATCAAAATAGCTGAACAACCCATAGCTACAAGTTAACACAGTTATCAACATTTCACGGCACACAAGACAGACTGTTAAAAGAATAAATACTACTGCGTTAGCAATAGTTTTCCTTTTAAAGCATCTACCCTTTAAGAATCTGAGGTTCTAGATTCAGGATTTGTCCTATACCAAAAATGCTTTAAAATTCTGGTATGATTTTGAACTTTTAAGTCTCAGATTGGCCACGTCGAAATGTTTCTTTTTTAAAAAGTAATTTCATGGGACTGCAAACTAGTGCAACCAATGTGGAAAGCAATATGGAGATACCTTAAAGAGACACAAGTAGAATTACCATTTGATCCATCAATCCCATTACTGAGCATCTACCCAAAAGAACAAAAGACACTCTATAAAAAAGACACCTGCACCTGAGTGTTTATAGCAGCACAATTCACAATTGCAAAGATGTGGAAACAACCCAAGTGTCCATCAATATATGAGTGGATTACTAAACTGTGGTATATGTATACCATGCAGTACTATTCAGCTTTAAGAAACAATGGTGATATAGCACCTCTTGTATTCTCCTGGATAGAGCTGGAACACATTCTACTAAGTGAAGTATCCCAAGAATGGAAAAATAAGCACCACATGTACTCACCAGCAAATTGGTATTAACTGATCAACACGTAAGTGCACATGTAAGAATAACATTTACTGGATGTCGGGTGGGGGGAGGGGGGAGGAGGGGACGGGTATACGCATACACAAAGAGTGCGATGTGCACCATCCGGGGGATGGACATGCTAAAGCTCGGACTTGGGCGGGGGCAAGGGCAACATATGTAACCTAAACATCACAATATGCTGAAATAAAAAAAAAAAAAAAAGTAATTTCAAAAACAAGTTTCTCCCCTTCTTCTCTACAAATTCCAATATTTTCTCCCTCTATTTAATGGAATCAGAGAATGGACAACTAGTCTCAGATTTAACAGAAAAGAGTTTAAGGTATCAACGATCTAGGGTGTAGACTTTACATTCTTTAGTTTCTTCGCAGTTATTCTGGGTCTGACCAACACAACTTTATTCACTGGTGGGAATGCTGGTATTGTCCAGTAGGGCGGCAACCAACCAATGTGACTACTGAGTGCCTAAAATGTCTCTAGTGTGACTGAAGAACTCAATTTTAAACTAAACTCGTTTAAATGTAAATCCCCACATGTGACTAGCGGCTAGCACAGGTCTGGAAGGCTCTTCTCATATGGCAGACTAAGCACATACAGACACATTGCCTAGCCTAAATCACAAAACAAAACAAAATTCACGAAAATATTACCTTTTCTCCATGCTTTACAGTATGAAGTGGAAGCTGGCCGATAACTTTCTTAGTTTCTTTTCTATGGCTCTTGGGTAGGAAAATATTATTATTGTTATTGAAAAATGTAAATTAAATCATTATTTAAAAGAAATTCACACATATAAGCATATAGAAAAATTTCATTTAAAAGGCAAAGTCTCCTATTGCTGGGCACTGCTAAAAACAAACATGAGGAAAAAAAAAGAAGTAAAAATATATTTTATTTAAAAAAAAAGAAAAAAGGCAAAGTCAAAGAAGTATACTGAATATAACTTAAAAAAAAAACAAAAACCCTCCGAAACAATAAAAAACCATTTAAGTCTTAATATATAGAACAGCCATATAACTTAAGAGCTATGAGATCAAAAATACTTATTTTCCTCTTCTTCTTTTTTTTTTTTTCTTCTTTAGACAGTCTTGCTCTGTTGCCCGGGTTAGGGTACAGTGATGTAATCATAGCTCACTATAGCCTTGAACTCCTGGGCTCAAGCAATCCTCTTGCCTCAGCCTCCCGAGTAGCTGGGACTAGAGGTACACACTACCAGGCCGGGCTAATTTTAAAATTTTTGTAGAAATGGGGTCTCATTATGTTGCCCAGGCTGTTCTCCAACATCTAGCCTCAAGTGGTACTCTCGCCTCTGCCTCCCAAAGTGCTGCGATAACAGGCATGAGCCAATGCACCTGGCCAAAAATACTTATTTTCAATTCCTCTATTTCAATGTTGGCAAGAAAGTAACAAGTGAGGATGGGGTCCCATATACTCATCTGTTAAGGTTCCTAAAAGGAAAAGGCCCTTCCTAGTCATCAAATCAGAGAGGTCAACATTTCACAACGACAGAGTTAAGTGTGAGTTCAAAAGACCTGCCTTGGGAAGCCTCTGGCTCTTGGACTGTCCTCTTTTCTGCCACTGAGACAGACAAATGGCTTTACAGCTGTTCCACAATGGAGACAGGAGGCCCTTCCTCTCTACTCTTTGCCTTTAGGCTTAGTCAGAGAACCAGGGTTACATGAGGGCAGGTCCACTATATCTCATGCTTGTTTGTCATTCTTTTATGTCTGGAAAAAGGCAAAGAGGGTACCTGCAGGAACCAAACATGCAAAAAATGTCCCAGTTTAAAGGTATCTAATTTTCTACAAAACAGAAAATTTAACATACTCCAATTAAAAAGTTCTTTTCAAAAAGTCATTATGACTACTTAAGTATCAGGAGTGAAAATAAAATTAAGAATATGGTCAAATGTAACTCTAAGCAGTACATGAGATTTATTCATGAACTATCTTTTAAAAAGCAAAATTAAAAGAGTTAGCCATAATTACCTGAATTCCAAACTGTGAGCCAGCATATAGGAAACGCTGTATATAGTAAAATATTAGCCAAGCTAATGAGATAATCATCATGGTGATGAAGGCAATGGCCACAAACACCACAGACTGACCGCTGATGAACTCCTGTACATGACGAGTGCCAATCCCTATGGTCATCTTTACTGGAATTCCCTTTTGCACCAGCTCCCAAATTTCTCTTCCTTTTGGGTAACTAACCATAATGACCACTATATTTCCTGTTCCTGTAGGAAAGAACAAAGAAATCAATTAAAGAACACAAAATAAAATACAAAGAAAGTTGAGAGAAATATAAAAGTACTATGCTTATCCGTACATTTACATTATAAGTTACCAAAACTGGTCCAAAAGAAAACAGACTGATTACATTAGAAGTAGTAGAACAAGTCACTAAGAACTATTCCACAAAGCCAGAGCACCATTCAATTTCTTTTATTTCTTTATTTTTTCTTCTTTTTTTAGAGAACATTCTTCACTGAGCACCATTCAATTTCACAGGTGAAGTTTAGCACCAAACTTTAAGGAACCATACAGACCAATTTCACTTATGAATATGAATACATCATGCCTAAAGCATGTCCATTAAAATCAGGGAGGCAGTATGAGAATTTCTACTACAATTACTATTATTTAACATTGCTCTGAGGGCATAAGTAGATACATGACAAAAAAAATTGAGAGACAGAAAAAAAGGAGTAAAATAAATAATTTTACAGGAATCTAGCCATAAATTAATGCAATAAGTTATCAAATGTGATTAAAAAAAACCTAAAAATACTGCTTCTAAAGTTCACTTAGGAGAAAAATAAGATGATCAAAAAACTTTTTAAACAGTAAAACCTGGACTAGTCTTTATAAAGTAATTAAAACAATGTGGCAGTGACATATGAAGATACCCACAGAATGAGACAGAATAAAAAGTATAGAAATGGACCCAAATACATGAAAGAATTTAGTGCATGATAAAAGCACATTCCAAAGCTACAGGGTAAAATGAATTATTAAAAAAAAATCATGTAGGGGTAACTAGGTATCATTTGGGGGAAGAAAGCTGCATCCTTTTCTCACAACTTACACGGAAATAAATTCCAAGTAAATCAAAGATTTAAATATATTTAAAAAAGAGAAAATAGGCTGGGTGAGGTGGCTCATGCCTATAATCCTAGCACTCTGGGAGGCTGAGGCAGGAGGACAGCTTGAGCTCAGGAGTTCAAGACCAGCCTGAGCAAGAGTGAGACCCTGTCTCTATTAAAAATAGAAAAATTAGCCCAGCATCTTGGTGTGCGCCTGTAGTCCCAGTTACTCGGGAGGCTGAGGTAGGAGGATCACTTGAGCCCAGGAGTTTGGGGTTGCAATGAGCTATCATGATGCCACTGCACTCTAGCTCGGGTGGCAAGAGCGAGAGACTGTCTCAAAAAGAAAAGAAAAGAGAAAAAGGGGGGGTGGGAGGAAGAGAAAACACACACGGGCCAGAAGAAACATGGGGATTAAAAATATATGATATCGGAGAAAAACTTCTGCAAGTATGAAAACCACCTCAGAAGTTCTTTTAAAAAAAAAAGATTTGACCAAAGAAAAATAAAAATTTTCTCCATGGCTAAAAGACAGTATAATCAAGGTCAAAAGTCAAATAGTCGACTTAGGAAAAATAGATGTAACATAACAAAGACTAAAAGCTCATTTCCTATAAGAAAAAGAACAGAAAAACCAAGGAAATGAAGCTGGTTTGCAGAAAAGAAAATACAAATAGGTTTTTAAAATAGAAGCTTTATGGAGATATAATTCACATACCATAAAATTCATCCTTTTAAATTACACAATTCAATGGTTTTTAGTAGGTTCACAAAGTAAAGATATTTATTGTCAATGATTTTTCCTAAATTTTAAACATCACAATCTAAATGTCCATCAAAAAGAAAACAGCTATATAAATTACAGCATATGTATAAAGGTTAAAGCAGCAGTGCTGTAAAGTACTGATAATACTCAAGACAGAAGAAAAAAGAAGCAACATGTAAAACTGTGTGGGCAGCATGTTGTCCTTAAAAAAATACCCCACAGAGCTGTATGCTCATACCAACACAATACCTCTGGAAGGCTACCCGAGACTGGGGACCGTGACTGCTTTCGGGGAGAGGAGCTGGTGGCTGCAGGGTGGGATGGGAGCCTTACTTTGCACAGTAAAACTTCTGTACCGTGTGGACATATTACCTATTCAAAAATAATTTTAAAATGTGTATAAAGAATGTTTTCTGATGTTATACGAAATCACATAATAAGACTATTTTATTGAAGAGAGAAATTTAATCTGTAGCAAATCCACTGTGGATCTCAGCCATCAGGATTTAGTTACTGAAATACCAGAAGGGCACCCTGCTAAGGTGGCTCCTGTCTGGAAGCTGATCCTATGACCCACCTGAGCCTAAAAGTGTCCCATAGCAAGAAATGTAGTTTCCCTGAACTCACAGGACCTACACCCTGTCATCACTGGGGAGACACAATAAGGAGGAAGGCATTTCTTGCCTTTGGGAAAATCAACATCTACTAGTTAAGAAAGATATGTATAGAAACAATTACGCTAGTTACACCACATACAATTATATGGCACTTTACAAGCTAAAAGCCTTTTTTATAAATCTTCTTTTGTGGAAAATTTCAAGTACATTTTAAAGTAGAAAGAACAGTATAATGTTCCATGTTCCTATCTTAGTTAAATGCTTTTATACAGGAAAAAAATCTGTTTCTATGCTATGATTATAGCTGATACAGTTTCTGGTACTGGTATCACCTTCTTTGTGTGGTAACGGGGAAAAACAACTGTGAAGCATTTTCACATTTATATCTCACTTGAAGCAGAAAAACGCCATATTATCTTTCTACAGCTGAGGGCTTAGATATCTTAAGTGAGTTGCTCAATGTCATATAACACCGAAAAAGCCACTTCTAAGGTCTGAAGATCCAGCTCTGAGGTAGCATCCCTTCCCGGTCCCCCTTCATAGGGGACACAGGTGTCAGAGCCACACAGACCAGGGTTCAAATCTTAACTCTAGTATCCACTGCCTGGAGGTCTGGACAAATTGATCCTGAGAATGTTTCTGCAACTATAAAATGGGGACGAGAAGGATCCTATTTTGAACTGCCGCTTCTTTAACAAGCAAATAACAAAGAGCTGCGGAAGGGGATAATTTTGTCTGGGGTGGAGGAAAATCTTTCCCTAGGAGGAACGTTTCAGCCACATCTCAAAAGAGAAAAACAATTTACCAAACAAAAGAAGGGAGGTTTTCTAGACTGTGAAACCATCATAAATACATATTTGGGATGGTGACCAGCCCAGTTGAGGTGGAAGATTAACTGAGATTAGAGAGGTTCTAGAACACCTAAAATCTCAAGACTGGGTAGGGGTGGGGGAAGGGACATTGCCATCATGAATGTCAGACACTCTGAGCTGAAAACACTTGTAATGTCAATCTGAAATTTCTCACCTAGGGAATTAATCTTAGCTCACTGAGATAAAAGAAATTATTTTTTTTTTAAACTGCCCAGGATGAGGGCTAAACAGTTTGCTATAATCATACTATACTATTATCATAGCAACAAGATTGCTTCTGGGAATTGTATTATATTAATAAAACTCAGAATGAATATTCTTTCTACTCTGTGATTTGCTTTTCCACAACATTTCTGGAGATGAACTGGAGGCAGGGCAGTTGCTCAGGGTCAGTATGTGCACAACCCCAAGAGGTGCCAGGCACAGGCACTGCAGCCAGCACACCCTTACCTCTGGAGGCATCACCGCCTCTCTGGGCCAATCCTAGAGAGCTAAGCTGCTCAAGTTATTGTGTACAACTGTGCCTTAATTGGCACATGAGAGCAAATCACAGCTTATTTCCAAACTAAATAGCTGAATTTCTTCAGAGAAAGCACAGAAACTCAAAGACTTGGGACCAGAGAGAAAAAAATCCTTAGAATTTTTTCTCCCCTGGGCCTTATCATTGCTACCAATCTTGCTTGACTAAAAAAGGTCATTGCACAATCTCTCCCCCTCCGAAAAAACCTATACACCTCACCATTAGACAGAAAAACTCATTGAAGGCAGTTTCAGTTTTATTTTTGTCTTACATTTAGCACAATGTCTTTGCACTCAGTACATGATCCTGAACTTACTTGTTGGTAATAACAAATATGAAATATAGTATTTTTAGCAAGCCAAATACCCATAACATAATTTAAAATTCTTCGGTGCCAAAAGTAAAATTGTATTTCCATTTCTTTTCAAGTTTCTGTGTTCCTCTTATCACCTTGTCAAAAACAAACCAAAACAAATGTAAAAAATTCTGATTTAGCCAATAGCTTCAAGTGACATTTGAGGCTAGTGTACTATTTCTTCTCACAAGACAACTAAGTTGATTTCAACATTCTCTTGAAGGAGATGGGAGCTACTGAAATATTTAAAGTAGTGGATTAGATTTCTGTTCTGGAAAACTAATTCAGGCAGCAAGAATTCACATTTTTAAAGTTCCAGCAAGAGAATCCCATGAACTTCCAGGTTTTCTTCTTTCCAATAACTTAACTGCCATACTCTCTCCACTTTTTCCCCCTCTGGAGAATTCCTGGTCAAATCTTCAAAATTCAGCGTAAGTTCAACTGAAGGCTTTTCAGAACACCTGCAGTCAATGTATCAATGCCTCTTAGATACATCTCTTCTCACACCTACTATAATTTCTTTATAGGTCTCCTTCCCTCACCAGACAAGTACTACCTGTTCTTTATTAGTTTTTGTAGCTCCAGCATCAAGCAGTGATGTCCCATAAAAGGGTTTCTGCATGAATGCATTAATCTTAAAAACTGGCTTACTTTCTAGTCCTACAGTTGAAATGACCCAATAAGGAGAATTATAGACTCCTTAGCAGGGGAAATAGTACACCAGAATGAACGTAAATGTCTTGGAAGTTTGAAGCCATTATGCAAAACAAATGTTTTTATGGCTGGTTAGGGTGAGTAAGGAGGACCCTCAAATAAATGCAATTCTCTTCCTGACACTGTAAAATTTTAAATTATATTTTGGACAATTTGGCTTGCTCAAAAATAGTCTGTATTTATTGAATATACTACTCAACAATCTCACTGAGAACTCTTTTGCAGCCCTCTTCCTACCACTCAGAAATGCCTTATAGCCCCCACCCACCTCTACCACACACCACACAAACTTTCCCCACAGACTTTAACTTGTCCTTCAAAACTCAATCTTTCTGGGAACTGTCCTAGGCTATAAGGTACCATTTCTGTCTTCCTATAGCACCAAAATACATTTTAAATTCAAATCTAAATTTTTAGATTATTTGTGACAGTATAGCATTATAGATCATCAAGAATTTATTATTCACTCATAAATGACTATTTACCATGCTCTGCAAATACAAAATACACATCTCTCAATGTGTGAACTCTCTAAAGGTCAGGGATTTCTTATACAGGAATATTTGTAACCTCTCCTGCCCCTCACCATCTCAACTGTGGCCCTTTCCTCAAACATAATTTTAAACTTTGCTAGTACTTGGCACTCAGTAAATAACTGTTAGAAGAACAAAAGTGGTATTCTTAAAAGACTATGCCAAGATTTCAGCTAAAGAATCAGGATGTTTATTAACCAACATATCTATGTTAAGGCCAATACTCTATAAAAACTTTCATTTTGATGATGTGACTTTTATCAATTTCTACCTATGTTGGTCAAGCTAACTTCTACACCCCTGCAACACCCAGATTAGATGCCCTTCCTCCATGCTTCCTAAAGCATCTGTGCATATAATTCTGTCAAGGTCCAAACTACATTGTCTGGAAAGTTCTGTTTATCATTCCCACTAGAACATAAACTCCTCAAGGGCAGGCATGTGTCTTATGCATTTCTATCCCTCAGCAGGTACAATACTTGACCCAAAGTGGCTGCTCAATCAGCATAAATCACTAAAGTAAATGGAATTAACTTTGGGCATTACTGTAACAGTCTTTACATTTGTTCTGACAGAATATTATCTTAAGGTCATAATTTTTTTAGAGCCACAATAAGATATTGATTTAAATCCAAAAAGTATCCTTTGCTGGCTTCCAGTAGAGGCCAGCAGTAGGTTTCAGAAAAACTGGAGAAATTCTCCCAGAGACTTGGGAAGGGACTTCCAGTATTCAATTTTACACCTCCACCTATTTCATAGAAAACCAGTATTACACAAGAACACTGAGAACCATGGACTCAGCAGTTTTTTCCTGGCTCCAGCCACATTTTGACAAAATATAGGAAGCCTAAGTCTGAGCTGACTTCCAGGCTCTACATGGTCACCTTGAGTTCAAGTATCTCAAAAGCTGGCTCCTCTTCTGACTTCTAAATTCCATTCTCAAACGTCACAGTGTAGTTGTACTCATGTACCTAACTGGGCCAAGTTCTGCAAGGGTCTTTCCATTCATTTTCTGCAGTCACCACTACAGTACTGGCCCTTATATTTCTATTTGGACTAGCCCAACAGTCTAACTGGACTCTCTGTTTCCAGCTTTTCCTCTGTTTAATCCATTAGTCACACTGCTACCAAATAAAATAAACATCAAAATGTTGGATGATTTTGTTACCCCCTCCCCATTCCGTGAACATTTGGCAGCATGGAGACATTTCTGGTTGTCTAACTGTGGGAAAGCTACCTGGGATACAATGCGTAGAAGCCAGGGATGCAGCTAAACATCCCACAATGCACAAGACAGCCCCCTCTCCAACAAAGAATTATCTGGCCATAGATCATCTTGTTATCTTGGGCCAATCATTTTAATTCTTTCAGCATCAGTTTCCTCATTTGTACAATGAGATTAAAGTATCTACCTTAAAGGGCTTTCGCCCCTGAGGCATAAAGCAAATGTGATCTTAGAAGGCATAACAGAAATATGCTCTCTTTGCGTGTACTGTTGCGTCTTAACTAGAATTCAGTTCCAAGGATGACATTTTGCAAAATTTAAGGCTTTTAAACTATCATTAATGCCTGAAGATGCAACCTACTTTTCTGGGGCATAGCGTATGTAGGGAGGGTCGCCTGGCATATAGCAAGGTCTTTTCCTGAATGATCACAAGTTAACTTTTAAAATTTCACTTTAATTCAAGACCCAACGAATGTGACTGGCAGTATAGCCAGTGTTATAACCCTATATTTAGCAAGTGAGAAAACATACCGAACTTAAATCCAGGTTTTCTAACTCCAAGTTTAGAATATTCACACATGCTTCATGAAAGTGAAGAAACCAGA